CCCGGCTTTATCCCGTAATCTGTAAAATACGGAAAGCCTCAGAAAGTCTCAGAATGGAGGAATGGAAGCTGTAATGAAGGCAAAGGGTGGACATACAAAATAATGAAAAACAGATTATATTTAGCTGTTGACGCTTCTGTGTAATTTCTAATAAATGTTTTCTTGATGGAGGAAAATGAACGGCCAGTTTCACTTAAATTAAATACTGAATGGTAGTCTCTGACTTTTGTACAGTGTTTTATGTGGGTACCTATATCCAGTTATCTAAGCCTAACCCTAACCTTAGCCCTAAAATCGATAACCAAACAGTGATGCCTTTTTTCAGATTTTTAAACAATGAAGCTTTTCTAAAAAGCACTTGACAAAATCAGGATCATTTTATTGGCCCTAACTTTGGAGGTTAGCCCTGTTTTTCTCTGGTTTCACCACAAAATCAGACATTTTTGCCCTGAAATGCATGAAAACACACACACACACCCACACACACACACACACACACAAACACACACACACAGTATCTGCCTGCTACAGCAATACTTCATTCTGTACACATGACAGCACAGGCAAGAGAAGGTGCTTACACACTGTCAGCCTCACCTGGGGTAACAGATACCTGGGGTAACCTCACTGTGGAAAAGCAGCCAACTACGCACTTACAGATGTGAGGAAAGCCCTACATAAATACACACGTGCACACACACTCGCACCCACACACACACTAACACTGACTGGTTTATTTGGATTTTCTGCCATTGTTGTGGTAGGAACCATAGCCTTCAACCCTCACCGGAACATGAAATCTCTCTGCAAGAGCAGCCACCCAGCCTGCTGATACCAGACATAATATAAAACCACATGTGCTCACTCAGGCCAAAATCAGCCCATCAGATAAAACTCATAAGCCCCTAGAAATTCCAGCACTTAAGTATCACTAAGCGCTCTGCCTGGTGTCCGAAGGCAACCTTCTGTTTCACATTTAAGCCAGGCAAAGCACAGGTAAAATAACAATTTCACCTCATTAGCTTAAACCCTTTTGAAGCAAGTCTTTGGGTGATAGCAGCTAAGTGACTATGAGATGGCCCACCCCTAGAGGGGGGTAGTAACTAGTTACATTTACCCCATTATATGCATTTTCATATCATTTTGATGGATTTGTAGTATATTAATAATATTTCTTGACGTATTGACGTGTAATTAAAATGATAATACTTTTACTTTCCATTATATTACTGCAGAAATCCCAAACATTTATTACACACTTCAGTAACCTCAGAATAACTCTGGCAGTTCGCATTTTTGTCCACGTAGTTACTGAATAGTAAGCCGTAGGCTGTAATAAGCACAGTACTTTCAGGGGTTAAATAAATGAAATGCATTGTCTTTAAATAACTGATTCACAGATAATTAATCACATTCCAATCAATTATATGAATTAACTTTGATTTAAAGAAACTTCCATTCACTGAAAGGCAAATAAATTGTTTCAATTTTGTTCCATTAACAACTAAACTATGTTGAGGTCTATATACAAAGAAAACAGGATTGAAAGGAAATGTGTGGCATAATTAGATTACGTTCATACATTATTTTTTTACGTACCATTTTACACAATTCGTATAAGTTTTTAGTTTTTTCTGGGCTAAACTTTATTCTGTCATATTGATGAAAGCTCTTGGCCAGCTTTGCTGTTGCAGACACACTTTTGAAATTCATTGTAGACCAAAAATAGCACAAAAAACAGAAGAATAGCACCTATCAAACTTCAGTTTCTATGCTGATAGGTGGTGGATGTACTAAGAGGTTTTACACATTTCCAGGCATCTCATAACTTTTTATTACCTGATATATTTCACTCCTACTTGCAGCTACTTTTATTCTACTCCAGTCATTGTTTCACTGAAATGAGTATGGTTGTAGGCTAATCTACCCACCTCTGCCCACATCCACTCAGAGGACAACCCCTTTCTTGTTCTTGGCTTGGATGTACAGTTTATGGAAAAAAAACTTTAATTGGTATAGAACCTTTGCATCATGTTCAGGTTCTTTTAACTTTAAAAAGGTTCTTCACGCTTACACATCTCTTTTACAAACAATTGTTTTTTAAAAGAAATAATCCATTGACATGTTCTTCAGGAAACTAAACGTGGTTCTTCTATGGCATTGTTCAAAGAACTCGTGTTGGCACCTTTTTTTAAGTGTGTACAGTGTACACACCCATATTGTACAAGAGAAGACAAAATAGAGGCACTAAACCTTCACAGAGGTGAAGAAGTAGCACAACTAGCATCTGCACAGATATCCTAGACAGGGGCAGCCTGAAAGAAAGCCCAGGAGGTTTCCCAACTGTTGGTGAAGTAGGTGTGCACCTGGACCAAGACTGCTAATCCGTTTCCATAAGGCAACTTAATCGGCCCTGCAACTGGTACTGCTTAGACAGGGCACGACCTGTGACTGTGTGGTAGACCAAGAAAAAAGTGAGTCTTCAAGTACATCTCTCAAAAGTCAAAAGGAAACATACTCACATGGTACCAAGAGATCTCACTGAGCAACCTGAGGTTGCATGATTCGGCAATAGCTTTAAATAGCTTAATATACACCTCATGGGAAACAAACAGGTGTGCCCATGGCAAAACTCCATCAAACCAACATGGCAGCCAAGGTGTCTGTCAGAAAGAGGTAGAATGTTTCCTGCTCAAACAACTTCAGTACAAGAGGTGAGCAGAGGCAACAGTGCATTATCATGGCAGACAACCGTATCTTAAAAAAGAAACTGTTTCAGTTCATACATGCCCACCACAGACAACACCTTGGCACCTAGCTAAGTTGTTAGCACAACAGACAGAGTCAGATCACTCCATGGCTCTCCACACAAGAACTCTATAACCTCTATGAATCAAAGATTACTGCCTCTGTGGTAGCATGTTCTACATTTAGACAGGATGTGCTCACTTTGTGCAAACTTCTCTAGCCAATGGTGGAGAAATCAGGACAGAGACCAGTCTGTAGACTGCCTGTAATTCTGTGATAAAAAACATACAATATAAACTGTGCAATAGTGGAATAAGTGGCATGGCATTCCAGCTCAGATCTCGAAAACCTAACTGCTATTATAGGGGAACCGTATATAGTTGGTCGGCATTAAAAGTGGTGTTTTACTTTATAATTTTCTTCAAACCTTGGTGACATTAGTTTGGTTATGTAGTTTACTTAATGTAATTAATATTATTTGATGATTCATGTGTTTTTTGTTGAAAATTGAGTCAGTGGGCTCAGGTCAAAATGCTCACTATAATTTAGCATGTTAGGTAATACGACTTGAATACAAGACAGTGTAATGAGTGATACCCATCTAGCTAGTCTGCTACTGTTAGCCACTCATTGTGAGCTTGGTATCTAAATATCTAATGTAAAAGTCACTGGACACTGAACACTTCTGACAGCCTAGATCACATAATGAAAGAGGTAGTTTAGTATTACTGATGCAATAGTGGTTGTTTTGATTTGCTCTGTAGTGTGTGCCTTGATGAAAAGCTTGTTTGAATTCCTCTGTGTTGTGCCACTAGTTAGCAGTAGTTTCAGAGAAAGTGCTGTTACATTTTAGGAGCTATTCTTCTATTTTTAGAAAATGTCTATGCCTCAAATTCAGTGCAGTTTTTAAACTTTCAATGAACCACATTTTGTTCTATTGTCCATGGAAAAAAATTGTGTCCTTAAGAAATATTCTTGCTGTCTATGGCATCATCTGTATTTATAAAAAAGAATGTTAAATAGGTCTAAGGAGGTTTATGTTGCAAATAAACTGCAGGGGAATCCTCTTCAAACATAAAGAATTTCTGAGTTCAGGTGAAGACTGCTTATGTAAGGTAAAGTTAGGCTTCTAAGAAAAAAACTGTCAAGCTTTCAGCTCTTGGACTGTCCTATTATTTACAATGTAGGAAATGCATTAGATTTAAGCATTTATTGGTTGATTATAAAAATCTATAAATGGAAATGACATATTTAATGTGTATTTCAATATTAGAATACACCAGAAACATGCGACTTGGCCAACACCACACCCAATACTGATATGGAAACCTTGAGTATCAACCGCTCCCATTTTTTTCTTTTATAGCCTGTTCTTAAAAAAAAGCTTTAAAATGAGCTAATTTTAATAGAAGCACTTCACTTAGTATGACCACCTAAAGGACCATCCTCAAACCACTCAAACACTCTATCATCCATAGGAAGAAAAACACAGCTAACAACATTCTATCACACAGTGTGAGTGAGTGGCATGTCTTCTGGCTGCATGTTACGGGATTGGACCGGATTTTTTTTCCCCTTCTATAGGCATTCTAGTATTTTCTGTTGAATACCGACATCCCACAACACCAATATGCCATCTTTATGTATAATAACCAAATTGGACTAGTTGGCTTGCATTATTATAATGAAGCCTTACAGTGGTCAAGTAACTAACTTTGACTGTTAGCAAGGCTCTAGGAAAGTGGTAATTCTGATGGAGGCTGTGGAAGATTCCTGAGCTACTTTTCAAAAAAAAAAACAAAAAACAATTATGATGGTGTCAGAACAAGATGTTCATAACCAAAAAAGTTCAAAGCTTATACAGTCCTTTCCAGTAGTGAACAAAATTTTGGGCAGCCAAAAACATGCTGTCTAGTAACAAACAATGAGGAAATGTCCCTCTAGCCAGATTACAGTCTAATGAAGCTCCAGTGAGGTGAGGCCAAACTCTTAAATCCTTCAAAAATGCACTCAGCATGAAGATTTTCACCGTATAACACTGTTTCTTTTGGCAGTGCAGAGCATGAAGTAAAAAATGGAAACAAACGCCTGAAGATATCAGCAGGTGAATTGGGGCTTCATACTCTATGTTTCAATGACAGCAGCAAAACAGATATTTCCCTCAGGTAGCAGGCTGTGCTTAAAAAACAGACAGAGAACCACAGAATTTAATAATTATCATAAAGCGATGGTTTAACTTGTCCACTACTTACTGCTTTGGACATGAACGGTGCTTGTGCTGTTGCTGCTTCCCCCTTCGTTCTCCACCACACACATGTAATTCCCAGAGTCCTCTAGCCTGGCGCTGGCAATCTGGATCTTGGAGTTTTTCCTGTAAGAGAGAGACAGAGGAGTCATGGGACTTTACGATGACTTGTGGAAAAACTGAAGTGAAATCCTCTAGATGGCCTGAGCCCAACAACATGGACGTCAGTCCAAACCTAGCAACACTAGACTAGAGATCAAAACAGAGCTTTCTCAAGGAGACTCAAAAGGATCATAATGTACCGCTTTATATTGTAGATGGCCATTATATGGCTGCAATCCAGCCTAGCAGTGATTTTAGTGACGAACATGACCAATAATGCCTTATGATGTGGAACGCTCTATAAGAATGCAACTCACCCATGTCCCTCATTTCAGCTTGCTCGTATCATCTATTAGAAAGGCTCACACCGAAACCACTTGCATTTGTATGATGGTTTTACTTCAAAAAATTCATGAGGATTTTTGTTTTCCCTGTTGCAGAGATCGGTATAAAGTACCTATACCTGCACTGCATTTTTAATCTATATGTATAACCTTCAGAATCCAAGAGACTACTGCACACATCGCTAATTGCATTGACTTACTTGCTTCCTTTGATCTTGACTTCTTTGCTCTTTTTCAGAACAGTGCCATCTTTGTACCACTTATAGGAAAGGGGAGGGGTACCCGAGGCTTCGCACTTCATTGTTAGCCTGCTTCCCTCCTCGACCAGCACTGGGCTCCTCATAGGCTTCAGCGTAGGAGCACCTAGAGGAAGAGAGACAGAAAGTCACATTATAGATGCTACGTTGGTACTAGTGCAAATGCAATTTATTATTTGTGGCAGGACACAGATGATGATGTAGTATTACAAAAGAAAGGAAAGCCAGCCACCAGATCTCTCAGCTGGCCAGATGATGTCACCAGAGACACTGGCAGCATGCGACTGTATTGCTACGGGTCCAACAGTGAATTCTCTGGAACCTTTGCAGCCAGTGCATTTGCTTTTGAGCTGAGGCCTGTGCAGCCTGCTGTTCCCTCCACCTTTTTGCCTGGACATGGCTTAAGCCAGACAGTGTGTCTGAACATGGTCACATAATTACACTTGATGCTTCTGTTACTCATTCAATGAATGTGAGTCACATTTCATAAGTGGCAAGACTAAAACAATTTCTTTTGTGCTGAGTAATTTCAGTTGCAGATCATAGCTAGCACGGATATAAAATACCTGTTACATTTTACTCCTAAAAAATTCAGAACTTATCCAAACCACAGTCAGACAGCTTTGAGTAAAAGATGTCTGACTGTGGTTTAGGGGGAATCCCGTTGATTTTACTAATGCTTTCTCAGTAATTGTGATATGGGAGGATAGATTTTGCCTGTCTTCAACATGTCTTCAGCCATTATGTAAAAGAGAAACAAGCTTAGAAGTGAAATGAACTCGACTGACATTAGATCTTAGACAATACACATATGCACAGAAAAAAACAACCTGAGGCTGACAGAGCAAATGCTAACACACAGAGACTAACAAGAAGTAAAGAAGCAAGGCACTGATGTTACAGCTTGCCATGCTATAACAAAACACAACAATCACAGGCAAACAAAACAAATGTTTATAAACAAAGGCTAACAAGAAGTAAAGAAGTAACACACAGACATTACAGATTCATCACAGCTTGCCATCAAAGTCCTTATTCATACTCATAACAGAGGGCAGGTGGCCTTCAGTTTTGAGTGTTACACTTGCGATGTAACCTGCTGATTGGGTCTTCATTGAAGGGTGGGATTTGTCCATGAAAAGACACGTTGAGCATTACAAACTTTCCCCAGTGGCCTGTCTCCTCCTTTGTAATCTTTGCAGTTAGCATGGAATAAAAAACACAATAAACCGAAGCTAACATGACAAATGCTAACAAACAGTGGCTAAAGTGAAGCAGCAAAACACTGACATTACAGCTTGCCATGCCATAATAAATGGTCAATGAATGGCCAATATATGAAAATGTTTCTTGCGTGAAGTAATTTAGTGTTTGATATACATTTTGGAGTGAAACATTACATCTGAAAAGTATCTCACATCTAAAAAAAACCTGCTTACCAGAGGCTAACAGTACAAATGCTAACCAACAGAGGCTAATAAGAATTAAGAAAGTAATGCACAAACATTACAACTTGCCATGCCATAATAAAACACAACATCCAGAGGCTAACAAAACAAATGCTAACAAACTGAGGCTAACAGGAAGGAAAGGAGTAAAGCCCGCTGTTTACTGAGTCAAAAAGAGCTGAAGTGGGGCGAGGCCGCTACATGTGTCCATTCAATTGCCGCATGCCCAGACGGGGCTCTACTCCGTTACCACGCTGCTGCTGCCGTGCCCTGCTGTCACGAGAGGAAGCAGAGCGCACGCTAAGTGCCCCTTCAGGGCCTGGACGGGGTCAGCACAGAGTCGTGACCTTTTTCAAGGTGAGGTCATCTAAGCAAGTAGCCTGTGCCATATGTTGTAGTCATTTGCTAAACAGAAACAAAGTGAAGTAAACTGAGTGTAATGTGTATCTAATTTTCACATGAATAAAATACACTGACAGTTTTTATCTTTCAGTTTACTTACTTCTGGAAATAACTATGTTTATGTAATATATTTTATTCATGTGTAAACGACATACACATTTGAATCAAGCAAATTTATTGCCTTTTTTTTTTGCTGTGAAGAGATAATATCTGTTCTAGCTCGCAGCAAAAAAGCCACAGAAAATAAACAGCTTAGTATACATAGGTAATGAGTTCAATTAAAATTCTAGACGGAGGTGTGCTAAAATAGTCAGCAGTCAGCCTAATTTTGGAATGACTGGCCCACTTCCCTGTCCCAGTACAAGCAGCCCTTTTATCAGTGCTACTAAATTATATTCGGTGGAATGACTCTGGTATTCCTGATCTAGCTCCGAGGCCAATGAAGCCTGGTATGCTATAGTAACAAAAGTGATATGACGTTCCCTGGCGCAATGTTTGGAGTGCAGTGACAGTGTTATTACTTCTCAGGTTTCTACTGACATTGTGAAGCTACGCAGCCTACATTCTTCGAAAAGCCTGCAGAGCTTACTGCTTAACACTTCAGAGACTCTGCTAGATGAACAAAGGCTTGTGGTTCTCCCCACTCCACGGTGGTTAGTGTGATAGGAAAAGCTGGCTTTAGCTAAGTCACAGATGTGTATCAGTGCCTGGTATGCTTTAAGGGTGAGTAGGTCCCTTAAGGTGCGCTGTGCACCTTGCCGCCTGACGTTCGCTCATGCAGTGAGTGAGACACATCTCAGCTGAGCCAGTGACTGGATAAGATAGAACACACAATGGCCAAAGCCCCACCACGCAGACACATACACAGCCTGGATGGCTGGGTCATATGTAATAGTTAAGGTGCTTGGCTCTGAGCTGGAGTGCAGCAAGCCAGGTGATTACGGAAGTTTCTAGAAATGATGACAGATACTGGTGAACACATACAAACAGACATATCGTGCCGTACCATTTCCTGCACATCCAGGCTGGTACTTGCCCTTCAAACAAAACAGCCTATACTGTGCTTTGTGCAATTTTCCGAACCACTCTTCTTTGTAAAAAAGCAAATAACTTCTGACGCCGTGTTTTTCTTCCAACATAAATAAACCAAAACTGACTGATGGAATGCCAACTGTGTAAGATGTAATTAGTAGTGCATTAGAAGAACAATCTTAAGACTTACATAACCAAAGACCATGATTTCCGCAAAAAAAGGCTTTTATTGTAAGGATGCACCAATATGGGAGTCGTGAGCCGATGCATTTATGAAATGAACAAATTAGAGTTAAATATACTTTGACTTGCATTACAAAGAAACATAACATTTATTTGTAGAGAGCTATAAAGGGAATAAAGTGAATAAAATGCAGACATTTCAGCACAGTGGCCCAGCATCACCTAAACATTTTGCTCTTCTGTGATACAGTAAATACAACATCAAATATCAGTTTGAAATATTGGTCAAATCTAAATATCTACCAGCAAAATACTAAATGCCACTGATGTGATTCCAATATTAATGCCTTAATCCCTGTTTTACTAAATCATTTGATAATGCCAGCTGCTCTTCACACTGTGTGAACATTTCATAACAACTACACCAGTGCAAGTTAAAATAAAGTCAATTCTACTGAAAGTAAAATCTTGTTACATTTACACAGATTAGAATTAAGTACATTCCGCAAAAAATAACATTTCAGAGATGCAGTAATTATGTTGATGTAAAACATTTCATTCATGTGGAAACAAATGTACACATCACATTGAATCAAGTAAATTTAAAGCAAGCTTTAAGAAACCTGTTTTCAGAACACCAAAGATATTAATTCTAATCATTTATTGGAATCTAATGCAATTTTGGCCAAAAGTGGGCCGATAGAAGCCACCTCGCAGAGACCAGGTTGCTGACTTTATTGCTGTTTCCTAATTGCTTTTGCCTCTGAACGTGGCTAAGGAGGTTCCCTCAGTTCCTTTAGGCTTGGCCCATACAAAGGTACGGTGACGCTGCATATGTGTGTTACCTGCACGCTGTAGATCACTGGCCCACATCAGCCAACAGGTCACATATTTCACCAGCCCTTTAACACAACCGTCACACTTTACGAGATGCATGACACTCTCTCTGTGGCCCTGCCCATAATTTAAAAACGACTTGGAAATACATAACCTCAGGGCTGGTGCCAAGGTTCAGTCTGAACACTCTAAATCACCTTGCGGTTTAGGCAAAGATGAGGCTGGAGGGAGAGAAAAAAATGCAAAAGCCCCCCACAGCCCTTGATGTTTAGATGCAGCATAAATTGCCACCTCTTTTCCCAAGATCACTTTTTACAAGGAACTTAATGCTGTATTTCAGGAATGTGGTATAAGGCATGTCTTTCTCAAGTGCACACCGTTAAGAGGGCATTCTGAGGAAAGTTCGATTTTGACAGCTATTAAAAGCTCTGTCACGTTGGGGAGCGAAATCACTCCAGAGCTGCAGGTTTGGTGGAAACTCACTGAGTGTTTTTTCACTTAAGCAAAACAAGGGGAACTGCAGAACTGCAGAATGCAACTATATATCACTTCGGTTGTCAAGGGTTTTCGCAAATTCACAGAGAACCAATTAACCCACAGAGAATTATGGTGTGCTGTCATTTTTCATATAGCTTATCCTTAGGGGAGATCTGCAATTTATGCAGAATGCATACAGAACCATTTTGTGCGTAAATGGTTCTTTGCATGGTGATATGGTTCTTCATATAAATGGAGAATGTGTTGTATATGGTTCTGTTTAGCACCATAAAGGGTTCTTCTATTGCTAGAAGCTTGACATGATAACAACAGAAGAATCATTTCACCATACAAGGAATCACTTAAGCTTGAAATGGTTCTACACTGAACTCAGGGTTCTAAATAGAACCATTTCCTTCACTAAAGAAACCTTGAAGAACCATCTTTTTAAGTGTATAAAAACAAAATGTTGACAAAACTACTTCTAAATAGACCTCTATTTATTTTGTTTAGCATTACCACAGGCAGTTATGTTGACTTTGCATTTCCAAAGTAACAGCAAAATACATACTAAACTGTGTATTAATGCTGCGCAGACATATTATAGCATGTTCAGGAAATGTTTTCTCAAGTTTTAGGTTGTCTTTTCTCCAGCAATTATTATGCTTGGTTCATTTTGCTATGGATTCTGACTGGATAGGGAGGGGCTAGGAACCACCTTGGTGGT